GAGCTTGTTCTGGGCTTTGCAGCCAGCACATGAGGCACTGTTCATATGTGCTTCTCTGTGCACACACAGGAGGGCCTGCTAGGGAGGCCTGGCCGTGGGTGCCATTCAAATAGGATTTTCAATAGAAGAATTTTTAAGTTTTCAGGTATAAGTTTTAATGCACATGCAGAACCCCAAATCATTAAGATTGTTTTCTTCCACATCTGTCCTTCCATTCCTGAACTATTTTAAGGCCAGTCACGTCTCATCCAAGAAACCCCATTCTTTCATACAACACTATCTCCATTTCACGTCATGCGTCTCTAAAAACATGATTTTTTAAAACATAATCACAGTACTGTCATCACACTTAAAAATTAGCCATATGTCACCCAACAGCCAGTCTACTGGCACATCTCCAGTTGGCTCAAAAATGTGTCTTCCGTTGTGGGTTGTCGGAAACTTGATCCCAAAGTCAGGCCCACCTCTCACCCTTCCCTGACCTGCCAGAGCTCACGTTTCTTCCCAGCCAGGCTGGGAGGCCCCCACGCAGGGTTTGCTTCACGGGACCTCCCTCTGACCTGCTACGCAAGATGCCCTCTTTGCTATCAATACAAGCCACTCAAAGGATTCATTCAGTTCAAATTCACCTTTGTAAGCCTAGGTGATGGATATTTTCAGTAGCTATACATGCATTTTTAGTTTCGATGAGCACGTCTTTTTTCTGTTTTTTAAAGAACTCCAAATGATCTCCAGAATACACGCTCTTGTTTGCTGATGAAAAGAGCTGGCAGTACAAAGGGGCGCCAGTCAAGGTCACACAGCCAGGAAGCCCCTGACCTTGGGCCTCTTCCCAGACCCTGGGTCCTTTGCTGCCCACGTTTTCTTCAAGGTCCTATATGCAGATTTTCTGGACTTGGCCATATTATTTAGGATTCAGATATAAGCAAACTAGATGATAAAGTATAACATGAAGGCATTTAAAAGGATGGAAAGCACGTGATTTACTAAAACCATAAATCTTATGACGTAAAAGTTTCACCTAATTTCTTAAAAAACACCATGCTAAACCCTGCTTGAAAGTCAGAACTCACACATGTGGCTCGAAATGCCAAGAAATGGCCAGCCTTGTCTGTTGGGAAAGCCATATGTAACTAACTGTTTGAAAATTCAAAATATATCTTATCGTTTTAAAAACATCTTTCTTCTAAAGACAGTCATCCTGGCTTAAGGAATGCAGCTAGTAAAGTGTGAAATACTCCTACTTGTGGAAGAAATCCTCGTGTTAACCCTGAAGAACTGAAAAATGCATTCTGATGTTGATTGGCCCAACCTGTATTTGGGTGTTTTATGATGTACACAATATACTTTTGTATATGAGACTGTTTTTAAATATGACTTTGCTTTTTCCAGACATACGATGCTCCTCTGGGGATCAAGAATTGTCTTTAGCACCTTGTCCTGACCTCATCTGACTTCTCCGCTGTCCCTGAGAGGTACCGATGTGCAGGACTGCCCAGTTGGCAAGTGATAGAGGCAGTATTTTGACCCCAATTTCTAATTCAGAGACCTCGATTTCTAATTTTTTTTTGTATTGGCTTTGCACAATTTCATGTTCTGAAGGAGGATGCCCTCAACTCTGCAAAATGGGCCTTCTGAATGAAAAGGGTCAGTCATGTCAGGAAAAGCGCTATGATGATGGAATATGATAAATAAGTCTTTCATTTGTAATTATCTACTGTGGGGCAAAAAGTGATGAAAACTACCATCTTGAAAGGTTCTGCTGGTAGTGGTTCCTAATGCAGTGAAAGATGTGTGAGCCAAAGATGTGTAATCAGCCAGGAAATGGGAGGCCAGACCACAGCTGGGGGAGGGGCCTGTGGTCGTCCGCACCCCTCCCGCCTCCCTGGGGCAGTAAGGCTTCCTTCCAGAGAGCACAGCCAGGGAGAGTTGAACAAGTTGAGAAATGCCGAAGCTGTTAGTGGAAAGAGTTCCATTCCTTGGCAATACAAGTCCCTACTATGTTCTAAAATCTGGTCCTGATTGGTGGCAAGCGGGGCCCAGGAGTAGACCTTAAACAATGGCAGGCTTGTGTCGCTGGCAGGCTTCTCAGCCCGTGAGGAGCTGCATGCAGCCGAGGAGACCCTCGCTCAGAGGATTTCAGATCAGAGGGGATCTCGTAGAGCAAGTTATCCAAACCCTGAACCTGTACACACACACACACACACACACACACACGAGAGAGAGAGAGAGAGAGAGAGAGAGAGACAGACAGACAGACAGAACTAAAGTCTGGCGAAACAATACATACTCTAATGAAAGTTTATTAATGATTAATCTACTCCTAGCATTTCCTGGACTACTCTATCTTCATTAGAAAAAAAAAAATTCTGATTGTAACACACTAACCTGACTTTACGGCTCCTTAAGGGACAGCAGTCTGTAATTTTCAGAGAACTGTGTAACGCAGGCTGCCTCTGTTCTTCCGTGCTACCCGTAGTTCCTTCTCTGCTAAGAATAGAATGGGAGGGAAAACAGGGCCTATAGCACAATATTAGCAGGTGAAATTTTGTAAACCAGCCGTCCCTTCCTTTTACATTTGGTCTGAAAATTCCATTAGATGCTGAATCCTACAATGTATTTGAGGACCCCAGGAGTGCCCTAGAGATTGGGTGGCTCCCCGTCAGGCTGAACATGTGCCTTAATTACTGTGACAAGATTTGCATCAGCGGTGTTAGTCCCTGCCTCACTTGGAGGCCTGCAGTTAAGCGGCCACATTTCAGGCTCTAATTTCCTGGTGATTTCATAGTGTAGGGCACTTACAAATCAAAAGTAGGCTCAGAGCCCAACCCTCTTACATTTTACTCACCCCCACAAATGCAGCAAATAAAATGACTTTGATCTTCATTCCCTAGAACAGTTTTCTGTTATTTATTACATGATTGTTAAGACCGTTTTTGAAGAAAGCTGTTTTATTTAGCAAAATAGCCTTATGGAATCAAGTTCACATACCTTCTCCCCCAGATCCAAACAAGCTCGTAGTATCAGATGTCACCGAGCACCATGACAGGCAGATGCAGGTCATCCCTGTGCCCAGCTAATGATAGCTCAGCCTGCCCTGCCATCAGCCGCTCCAGGGAGGGCAGCGTGGGACCGACACTGTATCTCCAGCAATTTGCAGATAACAAATGTGGTTCTGATGATGTTACTTCAGATCTGTCAATTTCAAGATTGGATTAGACATTATGAATTTGGAGGGCTTTTTATTGCTAGCATTTCTAAGAATAATCCATTGTAGTATTAATTCTAAAGTCGGAAACCCACATAGACAGAGTTCATGTAATTGACTACATGTGCCTCTTCCTAGTTGGCCCGCATTCTCAACAAGAGCATTTCTATTTTAATCAAAAGATTCCAGAGTGAAATGAGGCTTTGAAAACTCAGCATATGTGTGTCTTGATTTCCTTAACTGATATCCAGAAGAAAATATGAGCTCACAGGTCCACTGGGTTCCTTCCAGCACATAAGCCTGTAAACTCTCCTGCTGGGACCAAGCTTCTCATGCACTTGTCAGTCACGTCCTGTGAGAATAGATACTGACTTCCACAGTTGATTGTTGTTGCTGTTGTCTGTTTGGGTTCTGCTTTCCATGTTTGAAATGATGAAAGTTGGTTTTCTGTGCTTTTGTGAAATGGAATTGCTCTTGTGTTGGGAATTGTGCTGGTCCTTTTTACGTTACCTTGTTTTGGAATCACTAACCTGGCCAATTTATAGCCAAAACTCCGTATCGTACGGCGAGTAATGAATCTCACGGTAACTGTGTGAGCGAATTCACACCCTCCCTCCCCACTGCCCGCCCCACCTTAGTCCTTGGTGACGGTGAACAGTGGTGCACCTCCGCTCCACTTCCCTTGTCCTTTCCTATCATGAAATCTTCTTTCATAAAAATGGTCATTTCTGTTCATATCCGTGGACTGTCAATAATAAGGAAGTCATTTTTGAGGTGAACACTGCACTTAGACTCATTCCGATTTTGATGGAAACTTCTAGCTGGTGGATGGCATTTTGTTTTGTTTTGGTTTTGCATGGAATAAATTCAGGGAGATGAAGCTAGTCTGTGATCCGAGGTCTCACTTCCATACGTTTCTCTCGGGCGGTGTGGCTGCCTGTATCATGCCTGAATGCCACAGGTGCCTGGCCAGCCAGTCTTGCCGTAACTGTCACTGGTACCTCAGAGAGTGCAGAGGTGCCAGCCGACTGTGAAACTGGCCTCATAAAGCATCAGTTTTGTTGCAATGGTGGCAAAGCTGCACGCAAGACGGGAAGTGAAGTCACTGAGAGCTCACGATAGAGCGTGTCTAATGTAAAAAGATGAAGCCCATCGTACACAGCTGCATACTGGCTCCTTGAAGTCAAATTTCCCCCATTACCAAGGAAAAGTTTTCCTGAAGGGGGCTGCTACATAGGATGACATCTGGTGATAACATTTATTCCTTTGGAAATCAATCTGTGGACGTGAGTTTCCACTGACTGATGAGGGGAAAAACGAATTGGCATCGCCCAGCGTCCAGCTTCTTATCCCGGGAGAGATAGCTCTTGGTCTGTCATCCATGCAGCTGCCTGCTGCAAGAGCCAAGTTCGCGCAGTCTGCAGAGAACTCTTCCTGAGCCGTGGGCTGCCAGGCTGGGCGGTGGCGGGGGGGCAGTGGCTGGGGGGTTGCTCATTGTGCAGCCTCCTGACACCCACTGCTCATCTAGGGAGACTGGCCTGGCCTGTCAGGAGACCCAGCTGCCCAGATGTTTTCAAGGGCCTAAGATGTAGGCAGCTGATTCGTGCGCCTTTGGAGAGTCCTTGAGTTGGAGACAACAAGTGACCTCGGAGGAAGGCGTGGAACACCTGGGTCATGGGTTTCTACCAGGAGTCCACAATGAAAACGGAAGTTACAACGGAGCAGTCTAACAACTTCCCAACGTCGCCTTTCACGGACGCGGGATACTCCAAGACTTTGCATTTACATGGTCATCACAGATCCGTTTCAAGAGAAGCAGGGTAAAAAGAAACAAGTCCATAGTGCTTTAGGTGTGTTTCTATACATCTTAATTGAGATGAGATTACATTTTCCCTTGTGTTTATTGTACAGACTCTAGACAGATCCTGCTTTTTGGCAGGTAAAGCAAATATTTTTTTAAAATCTAGAATCTAGACCCAAAACAATTTAGCAGAATCGGTCTGGACCATTTTGGACCACAGCAGTTAGGGCCCAGGGCAGCAGTGGCGACCACAAGCTCTCCGTAGGTGCTAAACCCCGTCGCTCCCTGGCGCCGGCAGCCTTATCTCAGAGCTCTCTTATCGCTGGTTTTTATTTCTCCTAATAAAAGAGAAAAAAAGGTTCATGTTTTAAAGCAAGCAAGGACATAGAGGTGGATTCTCCCTGACGCTAGCACAGCTCATGCCCAGGCCTCTCCTGCAGGGCTCTGCTCTAATTGCAAAAGCTGGAAAAGCTACAGGCCCCACAAGACGCAGAGCAGCCCTGCCGGCCGGGTCACCTTCCCTCTTCTCCGCTGCCCCACTGGCCCTCCACCATGCGACGTTCAAAAGCTCAAGTCACTTAACCTCTCAAAACCCAGTGTCCTTTTCTGTACAGTGGGGAGAATACTGGACTGTCGTGAGGATTAAGTGCGGAGGGTGGCCCAGTGAGGCTGACAGCTGCTACTGTCATTGTCATTATTCACCCTCTCACAGGCAGGCATGCCACAGTCATTTTACTGAAGCTGCTTCAGTGGGTCCTGACATGGGCCCTGTCCTTTGGGAAGGACAGTCCTGGTTCAACACACAGCTCCTTGCAGAGGGCAGCTTGGGAGTGTGGGCCAGTTTTCCCTCTAGAGACACAATTCTCTCATATGTGCAGTGACTCAAAGGCTTGCATGCAGACACATACACACAGAGACATATACAGAACAAACAGAGATACACACAGAGACACACAGAGACATACACAGCACACAGAGATACACACAGAGACACACAGAGACATACACAGCACACAGAGATGCACACAGAGACATATACACAACACACAGAGACATATACCCAGCACACAGAGACATATACCCAACACACAGAGACATATACACAACACACAGAGACATAT